CTTGAACTCACAGCGATCCGCCTGGCTCTGCCTCCCGAGTGCTGGGATTAAAGGCGTGTGCCACCACCGCCCGGCTCTTTTCTTTCTTTTTAATTGAGGGTGAATGTTCGTTGGTGTATGTGTGTGCGTGTGTGTTGTGTATAAAACTGAGCATGTGGAAGTCAAGTGACAACTTTTGGTATGTGGTTCTCAAGGCAGAGTCTCTTTCTGTGTATTCCAGACTAGCGAGCCCTAGGGTTTCCATTCCTAGCTTCTCCTGCCATCTCACTGTAGAAATGCTGGCATTACAGATGCATCCGACTACTATTTACATTGTTCTTAATCCCAGTACTCAGGAGGCAAAGGCCATCGGATCTCTGTGAGTTCATGTCATTCTGGTCTGTAGCAAGTTCTGAGTCATCCAGGACTACAATAGTAAGGCCCCATCTTAGAAAACTAGAAAAAACGAAACACAGCTCTGGAAATGGAGTGTATGTTGTCAGGCAGTGTAGCAAGCATTTTGAGACTGAGCCTTCTCCATGGCACTGCTTTGTCCTGTTTCTCTTATTTTTATTTTTCACTCTTAATATTCATTTTATTCAGATTTTCAAGCACCACAGCTTCAGAATGTGAGGCTTTTAAAAAAAGATTTATTTTTAGTTTTAATTATGAATATCCTGTATTGTTTGTATATGGTTATGTGCAAAAGTATGCAGGTGCCTGCTGAGGCCAGAAAAACATCAGGTCCTGTGGAGTTGGAGTTACAGTAGTTGTGAGCCACCAGACTAAAATCAGGTTCTCTGAAAGAGCAATACATGCTTTTAACCACTGAGCCATCTCTCTAGTGCCCAGAACATGAGACTTTATGTTGTGTTTGGAAATGGAGTTGGAAACACTGTTCTGGAGCCAAAAACCATTTGGAGAAGATTTTATTTTCCTAAGTGTTTTATTCAGAAAATAGTTACAGTGCTAAGCAAAAAAATATTCCTGAGCCAACAAGCTTGTAAGGCTCTAGGGATAGAACTGAAGCATTTGATGGGCATTTTCTAGTAGAGCCACAGTGATGAGGCCAGGACATTGCTACTTGCACAGATCATCCGCAGAACATTTGAAAGCATCTCTAGACCTTTTTTTGTTTGTTTGTTTGTTTTGGTTTTTCAAGACAGGGTTTCTCTGTATAGCCCTAACTGTCCTAGAACTCACTATGTAGACCAGGCTGGCCTTGAACTCACAGAGATCTGCCTGTTTCTGCCTCCTGAGTGCTGGGATTAAAGGCGTGCGCTGCCACTGCCGGCTGTTTTTGCTTTTTTGTTTGTTTTAAACTTAAGGTTTATTTGATGTGTTGTGGATGTTTTGCCTGTATGTATGTCTGTGTACCGTGTGCATGCCTGGTGCCCATGGAGGCCAGAAGAGAATTGGATCCCCTGGAACTGGGGCTATAGCCAATTGTGAGCTGCTGTGTTGGTGTTATGAATTGAACCTGAGGCCTCTTGAAGGATCTAGTACTGGAAAAGCAGCCAGTGCTCTTAACCACTGAGCAATATCCCTAGTCCCTAGACATTTTTGATTGTCATAGGTTCAGAGCTCCTGGCATCTGGTGGGTAGGATCCAGGAATATTCAAATGCTATACAACTTACAGAGCAGGCCCTATGGCAAAAGGATTATCTCAAGAAATGTGATCAGCACTGCTGTGTGGGAGAAACTTTGCCCCTACCCAAGCTCTACAAGGAAGTACAATGAGCTGCCAGCAAGGGTGATGTCTGGTGTGGGCTGGCCAGTAGGTGGTGAGGTGGGGCAGGGTGTTGTGCAGGGTGGAACTTAATTTCATGTCCATGTAAAAGGAAGTAAGAATATGGCTTCTTTCTTGTAGGAAATTGTCTACTACAGCGAGCAGCCGGGGCAGGAAATGAGGCTGCAGCTCTTTTCCTGGCTACCAGCGGTGCCCATGCCAACCACAGGAACAAATGGGTAAGTTGGCAAGGGCAGCTGGGGGAATGGCTGTGGTCTGTGTAAGAAGTGGCAATGCTGGGTATGCAGGCAAAATGATCTCTTTTTCTTCTTCTTCTTCACTTCTGTGAATGTACATTCATATGACCAGTGTAAAAGGGACTCTTGTGCATCTCAAAGATTGTCGGTCAGTAACCATTGTCTAGAGTTTCCTTGTATAGCCATGTCCTGAACTAGATCTTGTAGACTTTGTAATGGAGTAGAAATTAGCAAACAGGAATGTAAACAAGTGCTGTAATAGCGTCTTGAGTCTTTTGGTTTGGGGACAGTTTGATGTGATTTTGGTTTGGGGACAGTTTGATGTGACCCAGGGTGGACTTATCTTATGGTCCCGTCTTAGCCTCTCCAGTGCTGAGCTCACAGGCATGTGCTGACCTGTATTCTTCGGGTCTCCCATGTGGCTGCTGCTTCATTCTGTCTCTAGGCAACAACACTGACCAGATCATGGTCTTCCCTCACTTGCACTTTTACCTTTAGGTTTCAGTTACCTGTGGTCAGTCATGGTCTGACAATATTAAATGGAAAACTGAGAAATAGCCCATAATCTTAGGTTGCCCACCAGAATAACATGATGAGATCTTACCCAGTCCTAGTTTGTGGCTCACCCTCCGTCCAGCGTGTGCCTGGTGCATATGCTTCCTGCCTGCCCGTCCTTAGCAGTTCTCTCCTAAGAGGGCCTGACTCAGTGCCAGTGCTTATCTTCACTGTCACAGTGCCTGTATCTTGTCATTACCTTCACACATCATAGACCGCGTGTCCTCACAGGAAGGGGGAGTATAGAACAGAAGACATTTGGAAAGGCCACATTCACATGACTTTATTTAGAGTATATTTTTGTAATTGTTTTATCTTATTGTTGCTAACCCCCTTTCTGTGCCTAAATAATAAACTAAATGTTATCATAAGTACTTCATTAGGAAAAAATAGACATAGGGCTTGGTATTCCTATGGTTTCAGGCATCTCTGGAGTGTCAAAGATTCTCTTTCCTGTAATCAGGGCAGTCACTGTTAGGTGAGCAGTAGATCTTTGGGGTTGGATAGTCCTGAGTTTACCAGCTTTCTCACCTCCCGCCTTAGTCTTAGACAATGTCCTTGACTTTCTGAGCCTCAGCATCAACAGCTATAAAATGGAGTTCATCTTGATGTCATAGGGAATGTGTAAGATGAAAAGAAATAGGGAGGGACTGGAGAGACAACAACTCTGATTAATAGTGCCGCCTGCTCTTCCGGAGGACTTGAGCTTGGTCTCCAGCACTCACTGGCCAGGCTCACAACTACCTGTGACTCCAACTCTAGGGGCATCTAACACCTGGCCTCTGCAGACACCTGCACTCAATTGCATACACCCACACACAAGTGTGCACAATTAAATATAAAATCTATTTAAAAAAGGAATGCTGGGCCGGGCGGTGGTGGCGCATGCCTTTAATCCCAGCACTCGGGAGGCAGAGCCAGGCGGATCTCTGTGAGTTCGAGGCCAGCTTGGTCTACAGATCCAGGAAAGGTGCAGAGCTACACAGAGAAACCCTGTCTCGAAAAACCAAAAAAAAAAAAAAAAAGGGAATGCCAGGCAGCGATAGCACAAGCCTTTAATTCCAGCACTTGAGAGGCAGAGCCAGGTAGATCTCTGTGAGTTTGAGGCCAGCCTGGGCTACAGAGCGAGAGCCAGGACAGGCACCAAAAGTGCACAGCGATACCCTGTCTCGGGGAAGAAAAAAAAAAGGAATGAGGTATTTAGATGTGTATTAACATACTATCTGGAACTAAATGCTAGTTTTTTATGAAGTTCTTCTCCCAGGAAGGTGCTTTTTGCCTTTGGCGTTCCTATTTTCAGAAAGAGAGGGTGTGCTTATCTTTTTTGTTTGTTGAGACAAGTTCCTCTGTTTGTTTGTTTGTTTGTTTGTTTAAGACTGGGTTTCTCTGTTTAGCCTGGCTGTCTTGGAACTGGCTTTGTAGACCAGGCTGGCCTCAACTCAGAGATTCATCTGACTGTGGGGGGATTAAAGGCATGCACCACCACCACCGCCCATTGGGTGTGCTTATCTTTAAGGTCACTTTTATTACTTGTGCTTGGAGCTTTAAGAATATCATCCCTGTGGTTCTTATAGTGGACTTAGAAACAGCTTGTATTTTAGGATTGATGGAGCACATTTTTAATCCCAGCACTTTGGAGGCAGAGGCAGGTGCATCTCTGTGAGTCGAGGCCAGCCTGGTCTACAGAGCTCTAGGACAGGCTCCAAAGCTACACAGAGAAACCCTGTCTTGAAAACCAAAAAACAAAGTAAAGGATCTTGGGATGGGATGGCTCAGTGGTTAAGAGCACTGGCTGCTCTTCCAGAGGACCCAGGTTCAATTCCCAGCACCCATATGGCAGCTCAGAACTCCATTCCCAGGGGACCCGATACCCTGTTCTGGTCTCTCTGAGCTCTGTGCACCAGAGATATACCAGAATATATGGGAGTCTAGGGGTGAGGGCAATGCCATCTTTCTGCCCATGAAATCTACCCATGTATATGCACATGTGGCCAAAGATTTTTTAAAATGATTTTTAATCATGTGTATGTTTTGTATCTTGCGTGGGTATATGCATATGTGTATAGATGCCCAAGGAAGTTAGCAGTGTTGGTTCCCCTGGATCTAGAATTACAAGAAGTTGTAAGTTGCCTGACGTATGCCAGGATTAAACTCTGGTTCTTTGGAAGAGCTATCCATGCTCTAAACCACTAAGCCTTCTTTCCAGCCCTGCATTACTAGTAAGACAGGCACTCCATCTCCTAACTTTCAACAGTCCTCCCAGGAGCCCACAGTATATGGCAGCTCTTGAATGCAGCTCATGGCAAAGCCTTAGGAAGCCTAAGACGGAAAGGCACAGTGAACCTGACACGAGAGCAAGTGAAAGCAACATTGACAGGCCTGGGCGCCCACTTAGGAGTTTGGCCTTTATCTCGTCCAAGGCTGATCCGTAGAAGGAAAGGTTTGGGGTGGAAGAGTGGTGCGATCATTAAAGACTCCGAAGAGCTACCTGGGTTGGCTAGCATAGTGAGTATTCCAGTGAGTCGAGGCTGGAGCCAGGCTGGAGTGGCCTGGATAATCAGTGACCCGTCCTGACCTCGCACATGCAAGTCGACAGGTTTCAAAGGAGTAATACCAACAGGTTTATACCTTCTTAGGACTCTCAGGAAGAAGGCAAGAGAATTTTAAAGTGTTTTTGATAGACCCATGAATAAAAGGGAGCTGACCAAGAGGAACAACTGGTATGGGGGAATAAATTCCATTGCAGCCATAATCTTTACAGCCTTGGAGGTGAAGAGATAGGCTGAAGACCTGGTTGTAGGCCCTGGAGAAAGTCGCGGGAGTAGAGGGATGTGGTTTAGTTGATAGAGTGCTTGCCTAGTATACATGAATCCTTAGGTTTGATTCTCAGCACTTCATACACCATATGTGGTTGTGCATACCTGAAATATTAGCACTCAGAAGTTGAAGACAGGAGGATCAGGATTTCAGAGTCTTCCTCTGCTACATAATGAATTTGAAGTCAGTCTGGGATGCACAACACCATGTCTCAAAAACAAACAAAAAAAAAGAAAAGAAAAACCTAGGAATAGACAAGGCCACTGATGAGCATGTGTAGGGAGAGGGGCTGGGCAGGAGGGTAGGCAGTAAAAGCACCCGGTCCATCCTTTCGATGGTTCCACTTCTTTGGGTAAAACACATTCAGTCATGTGTTTACATATATCCTAAATATACACATACACAGAAATGAATAGGTACGTGTGTGTTTTCTTGTAATGTTCAGTCACAGAAGGAAAACATGAAATTCATATTAGCTCCTTTAGAGGAAGAGAATTGTGTGCTAGAGGTCAGGAGGGAGGCAAGACCTAAAGTGTTCTCGTATCTTTTGAGTACCAAGTCTGGTATCTGTAACACCATTAAATGTCTGTAGTGGTGGTCCTCCCTTGGAGCCCGCCCACTCTCAGGAGTTCTCTCTCACCTGTTCCTTCTTGAACCATGTTGGTTCTAAAGAAAATGCCTTTAGTTTCTAAAGTTAGGGAAGGAAGTCTTGATCAGAGTTCAAAATGAGGTTGATGTGAGTAAATTAAAGCAACAAGTGCTAGTCAAGGAGCTGGCCCTGCTTCCCTCTGGCCATGGGGCCGTTGTTTTCTACTGTTGAATTTGGTGATACCTGGTAGTTGTCGGCTATTGTTGTTTTATAGAGAAACAGATTCTTTGCATAATTAGGAAAAACTGTGAGAACAAAGTAAAAGGATAACTAAGGTGGTCCTGGGAGAAAAAAGACAGAAAGATGCTTGGGAAGACACTAAACAAACTGAAAGTTGATGGTGCTGAGGGAGTGGAGTCAGCCTCATGAGGTCATCTGGTGACAGGAGAAACCCAGGGCTGGGGCTGGCAGTGTGGCCTGAGTTTTGGTACTTGCACTTTCCGTATCCCTTTGTGACAGGAACTTCCAACTCCCTTTCATGGTGATTTGGGTTTTTGTTTTATTCAGGGAGAAACTCCTTTGCATACAGCTTGTCGGCATGGGCTGGCCAACCTCACAGCAGAGCTCCTGCAGCAAGGTGCCAATCCAAACCTGCAGACTGAGGAGGCTCTGCCTGTGCCTAAAGAGACTCCGGTCCTAATGGGTTCTGCAGATGGCATCTACCTGCAGACACCGTTGCACATGGCAATTGCCTATAACCATCCAGATGTGGTATCTGTCATTCTGGAGCAAAAAGGTAGGTGGTTGAGCAGATGCCCATTGTTGTGAGCTGTGGAAAGTAGTGGTTCGGGCAGCTGATTTCAAAGGCTGCTGTTTCCCTTCATGAGTCTTATACAGCTGTTTCTGTAGTTCTCACAATGCAGTCTCTGCAGTGGAGTCTGTTTTCATTGTCTGGGGAATGTGGAAGTTTTAAGAAAATTAATTTACCTTTAAAATTTTGCTCCCTTTGAAAAGCAATTAATTCTGGCCAGCCAATTAGTTTATAACTGAGTCTTATCCTCTTGAATGTCTTAAATGTAATCTGAGGAGCCAGGTGTGGTGGCTCATGTTTATAATCCCAGCAGTCAGGAATCAGACAGGAAGATCGACAGAAATTTGAGGCCAATCAGGGCTACCAGTGAGACCCTGTTTTCCTCCTCACCTCTACCTTGATCAAAAAGAAAGAGAAAGAGAGAGAGAGAGAGAGAGAGAGAGAGAGAGAGAGAGAGAGAGAGAGAGAGACAGAGACAGAGACAGAGACTCTGTTATCCACAGGATGGTGAAGTCAAGTCAAGTTTCTTTTCCTTTTAAAAATATTTAGCCAATGCTCTTCATGCCACCAACAACTTACAAATT